GACACGCCCTTTTAAGAATGCTACATAAAATTAAAACGACAGTGAATATGTAACTTTCCTTATTCTTTCCTTTCCTTTTTCTTTTCCTTTTATTTCAATTTTTATATTTTTTTAGAATTGGGGGGAAATATTCCCAAAACCTCTTCTTTTAGAGGTTTTTAAATATTTTCTTCTGAAACAATTAATTTTGTATGTTTTTGTTATATTTCATAAATAAGTAATTTTTTACTATACTTTTACTTTACTGTCCCTTTTTATAATCAGACTAATTATTGATAAAATCAATTTATCAATCTTGATCTAAACGGTTTTAATGATTAATTCTCATGAGGCAGTCTCTCTTGTTAGTTGTTAGTCAATTTTATCTTAATATTTATATCTCTACTCATTAGTTAGAAGTGTTTTAGTGCTGGATATATTCAAGAAATATATACCAAGAACCTGTGTTAGTGCTGGATATATTTAAGGAAGATAAACCAGGAACCTGTGTTCGTGCTGGATATAATCAAGGAATATATACCAGGAACCTGTTTTCTTACTGTATATAATCAGGGAAGATATACCAGGAACCAATGTTCGTGTTGTATATAATCAAGGAATATATACAGGAACATGTGTTCGTGAAGGATATAATGAAGGAATATATACCATGAACCAATGTTCGTACAAAAATGTAATCAAGGAAGATAAACCAGTAACCTGTGTTCGTGCTGTATTTACTCAAGAAAGATATACCAGAAACCAATTTTCGTGCTGTATATAATCAAGGAAGATATACCAGGAACCTGTGTTCGTACTGTATATAATCAAGGAAGATAAACCAGGAACCTTTGTTATTGCTGGATATAATCAAGGAAGGTAAACCAGAAACCTGAGTTTGTAATGTATATAATCAAGGAAGATAAACCAGGAACCTGTGTTCGTACTGTATACAATCTAGAAATCTTAACTTAGCGCTGCCATCATAAGGCTAGGTTTTTATATATTCCTATTAGAAATTTAGTATACGCATGGTTGACCAAATTCGATTTTTTCCCCGTGAGTCCTAACATCCTGAGACACAGTAACATTAATTTCATTATGATCACGTAATAATCAAGCCTGTGAGAGAGAAAAGTATTTTTCACCGTGAGTCCTAACATCCTAGAGACACAGTAACATTAATTTCATTATGATCGCGTAATAATCAAATGTGTGAGAGAAAAAAGTGTGAAGTGTTTAATTTTCAAACACGACCATCAGGGTTATTGGTGTAACTTTATTGGATATTATTCGACTATTTATTGTTTGTTGTTCACTAGCTATTAAGATTTTAGTTCACGTCTCGTAATCGATGGTTTACATGTTATACATGACATGAAATACATTCCGGTTTTTAACTAAAAGTTTTTGTACAGCTTCATTTTACATTTACAGTCAGGGTTACTAAGAAAGAATGCAACTTGAAAGACGACTGTATGGATTTAATTTTACATCCACTTATACAATTTTTGGATGATAAAAAGTTTTCTCGGTAAATGATCGTTGACCAAAAATGTACTTTAAAATTTCAATATTATAATTTTTTATCCAAAATATCATTTACCATCCTTAACAATAAACTTAAGAAAAAAGACATCGTTAGCGACTACACCTCGTTAACGATCAAACATAATTTTTACTTTTTTTCTTAAGCATTGAGCGTCCTTTCTTTATATTCGGTTCCTTTCTGCAAAATAACGATGCGTGTCTGCATGAGGGTGCTTTATAAGAGTTAGTTTCCTGTAATCTTTTACATTAAATATCGTTTTTATCTCTTTATCAATAAAAATATAAATATGTATTTATATCTTTGTTCGGTTCGGTATTACTTACACACACTCTTTTGGTACAGACACATACATAACGTTTCCGCCCCCTGGTCACATCCTTGATAATATAGACTAGTTAGCTCATGTCATCTTCACCATACCGGAGTGTATATTTATTTATTTTAATATTCATTTAGTTTCATTACATTCTCCATTTTCTTCGAATTTCTTAAATCAAAATCTACACAAATGTTAAGACCCCAAAAGGAAACTCGGAAGTATTGTTGGACAAAACTCCCGAAATACACACAATTCAGATGGAATGTACTGATTAGTTATAATTTTTCTTATAAAGATTGTGTCCAACAAGTAAAACGTATCAATTGACCTTTTTGTATGACGAGTTCATGGTGTACAACTTACAAGGGGTTGTACAATTTTTAGCTTTATTGTCTGCATAAAAAATATATTCTAATGTATCTAAGCGTCACATATTGAGATCTAAATGAGACTAAAGAAGATGAGACTAAAACTTTTAAAATATGATTATTTGAATTTTAGAAGTGGTCTTCTGTCTCCAACACTGCCTTTTAATTGTTTAAATGGTTTTATAAAGAAAGAAGCGTGTGTTCAAAAGAAGGTATGCATATATGTGAATGCCAGAAAAATGGGTCTATAAGTTATGTACGTCATCTCTGAAGTCTCATTCTATTTGGGTAACCCTGTAGAAAACGTTTTCCAATTGTATCTGTAGATTGGTGTGGGGCGGGGGATATGGTGCATCGGATATACATTATTGATGAAAGGATATCTTATGTCAAGAGATTAGCTCTGTAGTCTCAAAGGGGGAATGTGTCCTAAAGTTATGGGTAGAACAGACACTGGCAGATTCTATGTATATCGATTCTATACAGGGGGGAACAGTGGAACCATAAAACATTGGAATGGTCGTCAAGAATTTGTTCAGCGATAAAAAGACGACATTCACATGTATACTACAGGTATTTTGGTTCTAGTGCAATTTGCCAAATTTGGTATCTGGGAAAAACTTGAAAAAAAGTTAGGTAATTTCCCAAAGGCATTTTACCAAGTGGCAACTTCCCAAATGTGCAATTTTCCAAGCGGCCACTTCCCAGTCCCCTAGCCGCAGCGCTCATGTCTCCGGCACCTTAGACAACCTAGTCTAAACTTTGGAAAGTTGCCTCTTGGGAAATTGCACACTTGGGAAGTTTCACCTTTGGAAAAAGCAATTTGGGAAATTCCTCCACACAAAAAACTATTGTTCTCATTGTTTTTGTTTCATTTCTTAATTGTTTTAAAATGTTAGAAGTTTCATTAAAAGTTTTAAAAATTAACCAAACTGTGTGAGTTTATGTGTAGGTTATATATTGGATTTTAAAACGTCTTAGATACATAAGATGCTTATAGATGCATGACGTCTTTATATTCCACAGTTGTATCTAGGCCTTTCGATTCCTTGTAATCTTCAGTATAACCCTGATAATAATACATGGATATCAATGACATCAATAGATTAAATCATCTTGTATTTAGCGCACCACTGCACACACATTCCACACTCAGATAAAGGAATTGAGTTTTTGACACAAACTCAAATTTTCTTGTCCCTGTATCTATACAACCTAATGGTGTAAACCTCTGATATTTCAAACTTAGATTATTTGATCTAACAGATATCATAGTTTGAAATATCTAAGGTCTACGACATAGATAAGTAAAGATATAGGGATTATGAAAACAGAGTTTGTGGCAAAGACTCAATTCCTTTGTTCTTCCTTTTCACCCCGGACTAACCAGAGCGAGATACGTACAGTTTCTTCTACTTGAATTCAATCGTGCTTTGGTCTGTAATTCATTATTCAAAGATCTTTGCACAGTTGTCTTGTCATACTTTTTCCTAACTCAGTCACCGACAAAAAACAACAACAAAAAAACAAGAAAATCAGAGAAAAAAGTGTAAATTTAATAGGTCAAATTCTGAAAGTCACAGCTTACTGGTTTAAGGAGCGAACTAAATCCACGTGTTCTCAGTGCATCACAAAAAATATGTATGTTTTGTTCAAAATGAGTTTCAACTCATTAAATCCTTTTTTGTTCAAAATGCAGAAACATAAAGAAGGATTGAGAAGTAAGTATATAATCAGTAATGTATATGTACAAATAATACAGTGGTAATCGTTGATATCAATACAATGAAGACGACTTTTTCATTTAAATTTTGTTTGTCAACAAGCTTTTTTCGAATTACAAGTTTACCAGTAATTAAAGAGAAGATTTTTTAATTGACAGCCTCTCTTGACTTTTATGTTTATGTGTATCCATGCTGTTTAACAGCTTGATGTAAATCAAAATTGAAACCGAACGTCGTCTTCGTTTTATTGATAAAATCGCCTACCACTGTATAACAAGATTTATATTGAAATAAGTCGAGACATTGTTATACGTAAATTCCTTTATAAAAACCTGGTTTTTTGGTATGCAATTCTTTATAATATACCACGAGGTTATCTAAACAATTCTTTAAGCAGGTCCACATGATAAAACCAGCTGTTTCATTGAAATGTGACTTATGTTCGGAAATATTTCACTCTATGAAATTGTTAAACCCCCCCCNTATCCATTCTAAAGTTTTCAGCTCAGATTAATTAACAGAACGGGATTAAGGATATCCCATTCTAAAGTTTTCAACTTCGGCGGGACTAAATGAAAATTGTTGCTTACCAAAAAACCAGCTTCTTAGAAAGGAATGTTTATTGAAAATTAAATTTTTCACCGGCGCCGGTAAGGAGTCTTTGCCAGTAAACATTAATTGCCAGTGATTTTTTCGTTTTGTTTTCTAGAAAATAAATGTTGAAAGAATGTTAGAAGAAATTAGAAGTTTCACGGCGCTCATTGATATGATTTACACGTATTCTTAATATTGTATAGGCATTTTCTGATCTCAAGAAATTTGCAGAATATAAAATTCTTTTTATTCTTTTTCTCTACTCAAGAGAACGAAAGGCAGGGAAAGATAAACTCGATATAAAATATATTTTCTAAGTCAATCTTATCACGTTGTAAAAAATTGCATTTTGCACTTAAATACTGGGTGTTTTATAAATCATAGGATAGACATAGATAGATAGATAGATAGATACAATTCTTTTAAATCTAACACTCTCAGATTGACCTAGACCTAGACCTAGACCTAGACCTAGACCTAGACCTAGACCTAGACCTAGACCTAGACCTATGCGTTACATACATAACTATGCGATACATAACTATTAACAATTTATTGTTATTGAAATAATAATAATTTTCTTTTTTTAAACGTATTCTAAATAATCTTAACAAATCATGAATGATTATGAAAGGTGAAAATTCATTGTTTTTCTTTTAAAAAAGAAAACAATTCCCCTTTTCGACATAATCCTTATTTTTGGGATAATTTTAGATCAATTTTAGAAGCAAATAATCTCTTTTTGTGTCTGTATCAATAATCTGTATCAGACTGTGATCAGGTTTGGTATTCATGATCCTCGGTCTATGCTAACCCGACTTTGATGAATATTGTGAGTGAACACATGAGATCCTTGATTAGACCCCGTAAGCCTATAGTCAGGTATTACTAAGAGAATATCCTGATCCAACTCCGTTTCCTGAAATCATAATTATTGTATCATTAATTGTAAAAATTCTCGAAATAATAATTATTGCAACATTAATTGTAAAAATTCAAGAAATATCGACAACAAGCTTGATCAATATGTTTTACATTCATAACTATTAAAAAATCTAATATTTACAGGGTTGCCCACAAAATATGAGGCACCAGCGACTTTTAGGAATTTTCTTATGTTTATGATTCCTGCCTGCATCTTTACCATTTTTTTCTTTTTGTTCAAAATCAAACGACTTTAGTCAAGACAGAAGTCTTCAATTAACGTCATATTTAAAAAAATTCTTGTCGTCTTTACAGTCTCCTCCTTTGTTGGTAACCCTGTACTTTTTAAGAAATGTTGGTCAGACATGAAAGATAATAAAAGAATTATAGACGAAGTTCTTCTGTGGCGCCCCGAAGAAATTTTTTAATCTGAACAATTGATTTAACTGTTAAATATTTGAAATTAATGTTTATGCCAGATATCAGTTTCTTTTTAGGGGCTTGAGGAAGTAAAAAACTAATATAAAAACATTTATAAATTGCACGTTAATTGCTTAAGTCTATATTATATTAGGTAAATGAAAAAGTCATCACGTAAAACTCATTTTCATTGGGACACCCTAACCTGCTGTTGCCATCATATTTGATACAGAGAGGGTTTGTTGCTGTTGTGGTAAAGGTATCTGTTGTTGTTGTGTGTTGGGTGTATGCACTGCCATCTAAATAAACAATATTACATTTTATTAATTAAAATCTACTTTTTTAATTAAATTTTTTTTCAAACTATTCATAAATGCTATTTTACTGCAATAAAAGTACAATAAGTACAATAAAAACGGGAATAAGACTTATCTAAATTTTAGTGTGTGTAAAGTATATGAATAAGACAGCTAAAGTATACATGTACCTGTACTGCAGAGTATAGTATGAATAAGACAGCTAGTGAAAGTATACATGTACCTGTACTGCAGAGTATAGTATGAATAAGACAGCTAAAGTATACATGTACCTGTACTGCAGTGTATAGTATGAATAAGACAGCTAGTGAAAGTATACATGTACCTGTACTGCAGTGTATAGTATGAATAAGACAGTTAGTGAAAGTATTCAATGTACCTGTACCGCAGTGTATAGTATGAATAAGACAGCTAGTGAAAGTATTCAATGTACCTGTACCGCAGTGTAGTCTTTTATACTTGGTTTTGGAGGTTCAGGGGGTTTCGGAGGATTTATCATTGTTTGAAATTCCTGAAAAAAATCTTTAAATCATTTTACTCGGGTCTTCAGAGAGATGGGGCATAGGGAAACCCCTTACTTCAAATGCAGCCACTGATTTTTTACCTTTTAAAAAATTATATTTGAAAGAAAAGACGACATTTATAATTATCTACCTTATAGTTAATTCTTCCATCTCTATCACTGTCTGCATAATTAAACATATCTTCTATATCTTGTTCACTTACCTAAACATTTTAAATGGTTAACGCCAGAGACGCAAATAGGCAGGGTTGCCATCGCCCGGGGCCCCACCTTCTTCTAGAGGAGGGCCGTCACCCCATTGGAAATTAAAATTTTCAGTTTAAAACCTGCTCATATGAAGAAAATTACATGATTTTGTCTAAGAAAGACTAAAGTGCATAGGTTTGCTGAGAATTAGAGCAGTTTTGCTGTTTGTTCTTTTTTATATACTGTTTAGGGTAGGAACTCTGTCACATTACTGTAACCTATGCAGTTGGCCACAATTGACACCAGTGACGTCATGCATAACCAAGGTATAATGCAGGCAGATACGGTTTGATATAATTTAAAAGTAGGTAAAGGGGATTATTCAGTGGGGGAGATGAATGCAAGAGGGGGGGGGGTTACTTTAAGCTAAGATTATCCTATTACTTTTTAGTCAAATATGTAGTTTTGTCTTATCAGTTGATCTTATTGCGAGGAGAGAATCAGATTAACCTATTCACACATTCAAAAAATCTCATCTCAACTGGAATATGTTTGACATAATGTATAAGGACTAGCATAATATCGGCAGTATGTATATGAGTTCCGTCTAATCAGTCATCAGATGTTGGTATAGCTATATCGATATCCTTACATATTAGAGAAATTATGTAAAAGCAAGACAAAAAAGTAAATGTAAATTATATTTACAAATCTCATTCATTTCAATAAAGGAAATGCATTTTTCAATTTTTAAAGCGTTATTAATAAAGAATTAATGTAAAAAAGCTGGAATATGATGTGAAATACAGTATTGTTCAAATCATTTAAATACAGGCGTCAAAAAAGCTCAGTTCATATGTTTTTTTTCTAAAAGAACATGTGCTTTGTAAAATAAAGATATTCTTAAAAATTATTCAAGAAAAGTTCTTGTTTTTCTTCTTGTTTTTGCATTTAGACTCTCATTGCATCAAGAACTTAAACTAATTCTCCATGTTTTTCTAAACAACAGTTACAGGGGGACGAAAAAATAATTGTGCATGTTTTATTCGAAAAGAAGAGACAGGGTGAAATATACTTCAGTAGAAAAAGATTCAGCCAAGAAAACTAAATCGTAAATTGTTCAGCATTATTTTGTGACCACCCTGTAGGGAAAATAAACTGGAACTACTGTAGAAGAATAATAAGAATTCTAACAATGGGTGTTCTCCACACAAATATATAATAAGGCTTACCCTCTCTTAACTCTGAAAATGAAGATGGAGAATTTTGGCGAAAATAGAATCTAAACATTTTTTCTGAGAGCTCAATATGTTCTTTTGCATAAGAATAAATGGTAAATAAAAGAGAAAAAGGGAAAATATAAGTAAACACGGAAGTAAAGCATTTAAATACCAGCTTGTAGTAGATTAAATACTAGCTTGTAGCACATTAAATACTAGCTTGTAGCACATTAAATACTAGCTTGTAGCACATTAAATACTAGCTTGTAGCACATTAAATACTAGCTTGTAACACATTAAATACTAGCTTGTAGTACATTAAATACTAGCTTGTAGCACATTAAATACTAGCTTGTAGCACATTAAATACTAGCTTGTAGCACATTAAATACTAGCTTGATAGCACATTAAATGTTTTTAATGTGTCATCTCTCTTGTAAAATGTTAACCGCTGTAAAGTGTAGAATGAGAAAGACAGAAATACAGAAATTTTTTCTCGTTTCGCACATAAATATGTATTATGTTCAGAAAGATGTATTATGTTCAGAAAGATGTATTATGTTCAGAAAGATATATTATGTTCAGGAGGCGAGAAAACATAAACTGATAAACATCATTGACAATGCGCTGCACCAAATATAACACTGTGGGATAAATACAAAATCATATTTCTGAATATAACAAACAAATTATCAATAAAGAAGGTTGGACTTGGATGATAAGGTTTTTCATATTTAATTATTACGTATCAGGACTAAGGTTGGATGATAAGGTTTTTTATATTTAATTGTCACGTATCAGGACTAAGTTTGGATGATAAGGTTTTTAATATTTAATTATCACGTATTAGGACTAAGGTTGGATGATAAGGTTTTTCATATTTAATTATCACATATTAGGACTAAGGTTGGATGATAAGGTTTTTTATATTTAATTGTCACGTATCAGGACTAAGGTTGGATGATAAGGTTTTTATATTTAATTGTTACGTATCAGGACTAAGTTTGGATGATAAGGTTTTTCATATTTAATTATCACATATTAGGACTAAGGTTGGATGATAAGGTTTTTCATATTTAATTATCACGTATCAGGACTAAGGTTGGATGATAAGGTTTTTTAAATTTAATTGTCACGTATCAGGACTAAGGTTTGATGATAAGGTTTTTTTTATATTTTATTGTTACGTTTCGGGACTTGGGTTGGATGATAAGGCTTTTTATATTTAATTGTCACGTATCAGGACTAAGGTTGGATGATAAGGTTTTTATATTTAATTGTCACGTATCAGGACTAAGGTTGGATGATAAGGTTTTTATATTTAATTGTCACGTATCAGGACTAAGGTTGGATGATAAGNTAAACCCCCCCCCCCCTCCTGATCCTTAGTTCTATTACTCCAAGATCATTTCTACTCCATATTTTCTATTCTATGAAAACAAGTTTAAACAAGTAAAATAAATTTATTTGCATTTGTAAGTAGTGAGATGTTTCAAGGCAAACAAAAAATCGGAAAAAATGTTTCTTTCTTTTTATTTATATAATGTTAGTCTAAACATCAACATTTATTCTGAGAAACGGAAAAGGAACTGAGTTTAAGCCACAAATTCTGATTTTCAAATCCCTATATCTTTGCAACCTGCAGGTGGTGTTAACCAAGGAACTATATATAGGAACGCCCAACTCAGATACACGCAAACTGTTTACTGTACTCTGTGGGAGGAATGTAAACAAACCCAGTGCCCCCCAGAAAATGAAGGGAAAGGACTGAAGCTCTGATATGATATTGTAACAATGTGTGATTTTGTTGATCTTTTACGATCAGCGATTCAAGGATTTTTTAGATCGCTGAGATCATAGCTACCTAGGGGTATCATGTCCCCCCCACTTTTACCCTTCGGTTGGACTTTTGAATCCTATTTTGAATCCTAACGGATTTATTTGAGTTTGCATGTGAATCCTATAAATAACCCAAGCCACGCCAAAAACCGAAGCCACGCCAATTTTTCCGTTATTCCAGAGGCCCGGGCGCTGGTGGGTTGGCCGGCCAGCTCCCGGGGAACTAGGGTTAAGCTCTAGCCTAGGGTGGGGTGAAACCTGGAGAAAACAGTTAGTTGAAGATCAGCTCCAGAGTTAACACCATCCCCTGAAGATCTCCCATCACTCTGTTTTATTCTCAATTCATGCAACTTGATTCGTATAGTATTTTCCTATAGTTTTCGTATCTTTGTAAATAATAATAAATAATGAGTAGTTGTATTGATTCACTTTTCTTTCATATGTAACAATATTACAGTCCAACATATACTCGCAAGTAACAAACAGTCTTGCGTTTTATAATCATTATTCATGTCTACGATAGCAATATATATTATTATCCCCCCTCCCACATAATTGATGTTTTGCCCCTGAATTCTTTGTTTTGATCTCCTCCCACTGCAGTACACAGATTTGACGCATCAGATATGGCGGTTCCTGGTCTATATATTTCTTGGTGTTAACCTTTGATATTTCAAACTATCTTTTTTTGATCTAAAATAGTTCATAGTTTAAAATATCTAAGGTCTCCGACAATGAAATGTAAAGATATAGGGATAAGAAAATCAGAGTTTGTGACAAAAACTCAATAACTTTAAGAACAAAAAATATCTTAAAAACTATTGCTTGGGAACCCAGCATTTCTTTTTCTATAACGGTCAACCCTCTCAAGCAAACATTTTCAAATCAAAACTAAGTAAATTTAATTGCTTCTATCGATTTTCTAAATCAAAAATTGAGGCAAATCGTTCAAGGGGATCCTGAATTATGATCGGGCATCCTAAGACACAAAGAAACAGAGTTTAAAATATTTAATCTAAAAAAAGGTTTTGAGAAAATGAAAATGACACATAATTTATGAAGCTTTTTTATAATTCTTACTGTGTCGTATGCTCATTTAACTTTTTAACTTTAAAACTTTATTATAAAAGTCGTCTTCCTATTGCAGAATTTTCTGTTTATGACTGTATTGAATATTGTACTGTACCGGTACTGGAAGATTGAGCATCATATGCCTGAAATCCTTCTTGAGAATGAAGTTGTCGTTAATCTTGTATTTCTTGGCTCGAAACAGTTCAGGGAAAGGTTCAGTTCCACAGAGCATCTTCATTATTCATTCATATTTAGTATTTCAAATACAGGGTCATCCACAAAGAATGATATTTTAATGATGATTGATAATTCTTTAACTATTTGGTCCTCTGTCTTCAGATTATTCTTTAAACGATGCACTACATATTTTAGCAAAAAAACAGCTGCATGGAGCCAAGAAATTAAGAAAAGGTTGAACAGATGTTGAAAATTTGATCGTCTTTAAAGCCTCATCCTTTGTAGGAAACCCTGTTCTTAGAAATAGTTTTAAATTTTACTAAATGTTACAAAAAAAGGGAAAAAAGGCCGAATTTAAAGAATTTAAGCCGCGGCTCAAATATGGGTGGTTGCACTTAAAATCGTATTCATTGTTTCAAGATTTAAGCCGGCGTCTAATTGAAACCGGTTTTTTGGCGGATTAAAGACGCGGCTTAAATTCATTAAATTCGGACACTGATTACTTTATTGCAATCTAATGTCGTGATATATTTATTTTGATATGTCAAACTATGAACTAACTTTGTTAGATCAAATAATAAAAGTTAAAAAAATCAGATTGCAAGCGAAGAAAAATCAATCTCTTTCCCAAATAATCAAACAATTAACTTGAATAGAAAATTGCTCAAATAACAAAACAAAACTTTTAAAGTCAAAATTGCTCAAATCAAATCAAAACAAACCCTGAAAAAGTTACGCAAAACTGGCATTACCCAAAAATCGTGTAATAGTCATGAGATCAATAGACAGAAAAAAACAGAGCATTGCTCAAAAAATTAAACATTTTCACCAAATACCAAACAATTCCTTTTCAGAAAGAAAATCTCTAAGAAACAGTTAAAAATGTTTAAAACAATCTCTTAAAAGTTTTTAACCAGGAAAATAAATGGTTTTAAAATAGTTTTTACCTTAAACATATTTTGTCTAAAAACCTCCTCATCCTCCTCCCTAAACTTCCTCAACAAAATAATTAAAACTTTTAGCAAAATAGAATCTGAAATTATTTTAGTACATTAGGCATTACAGATTAGTACATATATAGTACATATCTTTAGTGTTTTATCTTTTACTAGCGTTTAGGACGATTCGATCCATATATCTTTGTAACCTGATGGCATAATTCTTTGATATTTCAAATTTAGATTATTAATAGTTTGTAATATCTAATGTCTACGACTTTAGATTGCAAAGATATTGGTATAAAAAAAAATCAGATTTTGTTGCAAAAACTCAATTCCTTTAGCCACCTTTTTTCTTTATGTTCATTATGTAACTAAGAATTTCCCGGATTTTTCTTCTTACACGGATGAATTTCAAAATTTAATACTTTTTATTTTCGAACCACCATAAGCAACCAGCATTCCCTGGGGTCATTTCGAGAGTCAGTTGCCCAAGGAAATTACGTACACTTGCCGCGTTGAATTACAAGAAGAGAGAGATTAATATACACATAAGGGTTAAGTTAGGTGGTTAAGACACATTCTAGGCCGAGCACTACGGCGAGGAGAGAGGCTAGGGGGCCGAGCGCCGCAGCTAGAACAGACTCTCTCTCCATCCTGTAATTCAACACGGCCTGCGCACATTATTTCCGTGGGCTTCTGTCATTTAAGATTTTTTAAGCAATTCGGCCAGATTGGTTCATCGGTTGTGGAGTTTATTGGATACAAACAGACAAACAACCCAACAAACAGACAATTTTGATATAATTTTAAGTTCTTTTATATCGGAACGAGTATATTTCTTCAAAGTTGTTTCTATTTAAGAAAACAAATAAATAGTTTTGGTAAAATGTAAAGTATATATCTCGAGTTTTCTATGTAAATATATGTAAATTATTCCCCAGAAATATGGAACACTAGTTTTTACATCGTTTTTACAACTCGTCTTTACCATGCCATATTATTCAGAACGGACCAGATTCTCTTACACCTTCCCCCTTCCCTCCCCCCTGGTCCTTTCCACTTTTCTTTTCCCTTTACTTAATTGCCTTCTTCCTTTCCCCCTTCCCTTTCCAGTTTCTTTCCCCTTCTCTACTTTCCTTCACTTCACTTCTCCCTCTCTCCTACCCTTTCTTCTTCCTTTACTTCCTTTTTTCCTTATTTTCCCTTTTCCCTTCCTTAACTTTGAATTTTATAAACTAATATCAAATTGGAAAAAATAGAATACAGGATACAGAACACAGAATATACAGGATACAGAACACAGGATATACAGGATATACAGGATACAGAACACAGGATATACAGGATAGGGTACACAGGATACACAGGATATACAGAATACAGAACACAGGATATACAGGATACAAAACACATGATATAGAGGATACAGAACACAGGATATAGAGGATACAGAACACAGGATATACAGAGTACAGAACACATGATATAGAGGATACAGAACACAGGATATACAGGATACACTAACACAGAATATACAGGATACAGAACACAGGATATACAGGATAGGGTACACAGGATATACAGGATACAGAACACAGGATATACAGGATACAGAACACAGGATATACAGGATACAGAACACAGGATATAGAGGATGCAGAACACAGGATATACAGGATACATAACACATGATATAGAGGATACAGAACACAGGATATACAGGATACATAACACATGATATACAGGATACAGAACACAGGATATACAGGATAGGGTACACAGGATACACAGGATATACAGGATACAGAACACATGATATAGAGGATACGGAACACAGGATATACAGGATACAGAACACAGAATATACAGGATACAGAACATTTGATGCATGGTCGTGGAAGACTAAATTGATCTTTAAGCTCAGGCATTTTACTTCTAGATGAATACAATGAATCTAAATGATGATACAAAATACAATATTCTGAACAAGATAAATAATGTGCTGTAAGTCTTGCTATTTTAGTTTGTTGTGTGGAAATGTACTTAGCCATGGGCAGTAAACTTGGTTGGTTTTTCTAGAACTATTAATGTTTTTGGACTTTTTAAATGCACCACACAAGTAAGTGCTTTCGATATTTCAAAACTGTTCTCTGTAAAAAAAAATTTACTTTATTAAACTATACAACAATTTTTACCCTACGAGAATTGATCTGTTTGACAAGTGAATTGAACACATATTTTTAGAATAAACTATTTTTGATTTATATAACTTCTGAGAATTGTGTAGAACCTATAAAAGATCAAAACTTAAAAGTTTTATAAAACGAACCAAGATATAGTCCATCACTAATGGTATAACATGTGTGCACTCTATACCCTTTTTACTGAACCCAAAATAATCTTAAATGAAAAAAAATACCTGGTAATAATATTGCAGAACTCTGGGAAGTAAATAAAACCGTTTCTAGCAATTTCATTGGTCAAGTCTATAATCTCCTTTAAAACAGTAGGAAATATGTTTCTGAAGAATGAAGTATGATAGTCATACATAACTTCAAAAGTGTTTTTCAAAAATTCAGTAAAAACTAGAAAATTGTGAGATAATTATTATTTTACTTTAGAAATGTCGGTAAATAATTTTGTAATTTGTATTTGTTGCAGCTGATAAATCTTTAAAAAAATGCAGGTTACTTTTTTTTAGAAATAGTTCTGTTGGAGTTTCATCCTTAGAATAAAAAAAGATGAAAACGAGAACGCTGTTTTCTGGCTCTGACTGTACATAAATAATGTACACATATGATGTAAAGTTTGGACAAAATTGGAAAATGGTAAATTTTATCAAAAACTGAAAAATATCGGTAAAATTTTAAAATTAAAGTGATTGTTTATGTAATTTTAAGTGCAAAGACCAAAGTGAGTATTTTTCAATAACAGATTTGTATTCACACAACATAGGAAAAAAATAATCCACACTTTTTTGTTTGATAAAAAAGTACTGCAGTTTATAGGAAGAAACTGCAGTACAATTGTGTGTAAACAAAGGTGTAGGGTTCCCGGTCTTTAAATATATTGACTATAAACGATCTTTTATTCAAAATGTAACGTTTCTTGAAAATTACAATGACAATTTCTTTAAATGAATTTATATATTTTGTTTTCTAATATTGAAAATGGGGAATGTTAAATAACGTAGGAAAATATAAATAATTGTTTCCTTCCTGTTCCATTGGATTGAGTCCTAACATCTTCATAGCTGCCAATAGATCCTTCACAAATAAACAAATTAATTAATAACAAAAATATGTCAAAATATAAAAGTGACGGAGTTTTTGCCACAAAAATCTATATTCTCTAACCTTTAAATCAAAAAATATTTTAAAACTTGTGAGCCTTTCCTTGGCTTAAAGGGACAGTAAGCGCAATTTCAAGTGACCCTTCATCTATACATAGTGCAGCTTTAATCTGATTAAAAATGTGGAGGAAACCGTCGTTTTTCTTACTCATGTGTTTGATATTTTCTCTATTGCTTAAGCAACTTATGCATAAGTCACTTTTGCAGAGAATTAAAAATATAGATATCTTATTCATAACTGATTAGACAGACAGACAGCCAGTGAGGGTACCATTGAAAATCGCGCATAGCCATCTTACATGGAGGGTCACTTAAAATAACCTTTTAAACATTTTTTAAACTAATGTTTTTAAACTATTTCCTTAGTATTATCATTCTTTTATACAAAAATATTTGCTGGGTGTAAACTTCTCCAATAATTTACCCCAGGGTAATAATTCTAATTCCTGTGTCTGATCCAGGTTTTCTTGTCCGAAATGTGCCAAATATTTACACGTAACTGATCCTGGTTTTGTTGTGCGGAATGTGGCAAATATTTGCAAGTAACTGCAGGGAGCAATATATTAAATATTTCCAGGTAAAATATATTTAATATATTCTTCTAGTTTTACTTCTCATCTATTGACGGGAATTTGTAAATTTTTCAGAATTTAAATGTGCTAGCTTTCAAGGGAACTAAACACTAACCAAAAATATAATTGTATAATATTTAGATGTTTGCAACTTTGTGATTTAAACCTTTGATATGTCAAACTTAGACTATTTGATCTCTAACAGCAATTATAGTTTGAAATATGAAAGGTCTTTTATGTTGAAAGGTCATACACAAGAAAGAGTTTGAATTTGTGGCGATAATATATACCATTTTAAAAAAATCAATAATTTTGATAGTTCTGACAAAAATTCATGAGGAAAAGTAATGATAATATTGACAACTAAATGATAATTCAAACTTTAAATGAGAATAATAATAAATTACCTTAGGATAGATTGTCGCTTCTCTGAGACCTGTTAAAATTTAAAAAAAAATTGATTCTGGTTCAAAAATTTGACATCTGCCTCAGCCATTTGTCTTAATTTTTTCTAAAAATGCAATGCAAAAAGACGTTATTAAGGCTCAAAGTAGAACTACTAACCCTCTTATGTTCCAACTGAACCCATCATAAACTTCCATTCAATTTGGTTCTTAATCGTCCAGAACTTTTAAATCTTTTTATTATCTTAAGATTTGATAAACAAAAACAAAAAGTTTCAATTAAAATTATACTTTTTGAAGTTTATAGGACAATAAAAAATATGGAGAAAAACATTCCGACACCCCATACTAGGACTAAGTTGTTATTCGCCAAAATCACACTGCAATTTTTCGGTTATCATTTAAGAAAATGTTCGTCTTTCTAAATATCCCAGGGAAACATCTGACACCTTCTTTACTTTAATTTGACTTTGCATATCCTGTCCACTACTCGTTCTTTCTTATCTGTAGAATTCCGTGACAGATATATAATTTTCTATTTTTCTTATTTAAAAAAGGTGATGATATAGCAATTGTCCAATTTGTCTAGTCAGCACTTCCTTCTATCCGGTGGGTTTCAGATCAATTGAATATTTCTACATTTGGACAAAATTAGATTTTTGACCGTGGACCAACCAATATTGTAAAATCTAATTTTTAAACATAGAACATATTTGAATGAATGTCTCCACGGATCTCACGGGGATAACTTATTTCACTGATTTCTTATTTTGACCTCTGGATTGATATTTGGAGGTCAGCGATCTTTACAATCATCTGAGGTCAAAATGGGGCCTCGGAATGGAGTCGGAACACTAAAAAATATGACTTGACACCTAACATGACCATTTTCATATTTTTTTTAATTTGACCTCGGAATCTTTAGAGGCTGTTATTGAAAAGAGGTCAAATTGTAAGTCACATATCTGTTTGCATGACCTATGTGGTAGCTAGAGATGAAAACATGGCTGATTAAACTAATATGAAACTAATATGAGTTTATGGAGGTCACCATAGAGGTTAATGTCCTCCGACCCCAAATTTTCTTCGTGATCTGTGTAGATGACCACAAACCTAGGAGGACGTATGCAAAATTTCAGCCTTAAATCTAAACTTCAGAAAAAGACAAAATTGAAATTACGGCTGCTAAATTTTTCTAAATTCCTGTTTCGTAGCTTCGAAATACTGTTGTAACCACTTCCATCTCTCGGTCAGATAGCTCAACCAGCTAAATATATTATTGGTATAGTTCAGCTTTACAGCTAAATGGTGGTGTCAATAGGTCGCAAATCTGCAAAGGTATAAACTATTTTCTTATTTTGAATTTGGTTTTGTGTTCTTCAGTCTAAAGTGTAACAAAAAAATGATTTTTAAAGGAATGATATTTTAGTTTTATCATAAAATATAGTAAACTTTGACTATTTGGTCCTGCAGAATTTTTCGTCTAAAGGAATTGAATCTTTGCAACAAATCCCAATTTTCTAATACCTATATATATCCACAACCAAATTATGTAAAACTTAGATATTTCAAACTTTGATTGTTTGATATAACAAAAGTCATAGTTTGAAATATCTAAGTTCTACAACATTGCGGTGTTAGGATTTAGGGATTTAAAAATCAGAGTTTGTGGCAAAGACTCAATTCCTTTTAAATGTCTACGATTTCAGGTTGCAAAGATATTTAGAGTAGCAGACGATTAATCAGTTTTTATCTTTATCATTTAATTAACAAAACTTTCGTTAGTAAAGCATAGCTGTTATATTAAAGACAGCATGTTTGTGATGAATTGGTTTTTACAAAAATATAAAATAAATAACAAACATCTTACTAAATTATTCTCTCCCAACAAATAATTCCTTGTCAACAGAATTTCTAGATTTGTTACTGACAAGACATAAAATTTATCAAACAGAGAAAAAAAACTAAACAAGATAAGTTTCAAAAGAGGGGGGGAGGAGAGCCAGATCCGAATACTTTTACTAGTCCAGTTTCATTGTAACATCTTTAACACAGCAAATCGATGCAATTAATAATGAAAGCTCGTAGTTACTGATTTGACTCTCATCCAATTGCAATGTACTATTGCAAGGAAAGTTAATTGCAGTTGCGTATACTCTGCGTTCATATTGAAACCCCTTCTCTCTGGACTCTCTGGGTGGAATAATAGATGCATATAAGTGATGGTTTAGTATCCGAGGAGGTTAAAAGCATTAAATTTTAATAATTTTGATAATTCACATAATAGTTTCCTATGACCGAAATATTTCATTGATTTTTTATGTGGAAGATGGATCCCATGTCAGGCTTCGACATCCGTCTTGTGTTTACATTACCACCCAGAGACAGTATACACTTCAGTACAAAAGATGCGTACACCTTTAAAATAACTTTCCTTGCATTATAACCTTGTCCCATTGTAACTTCTGATCTTTTGGCGCGACAAGGACAAAGTTTTAACGTTCTGTACCGTCTTATTTTCAACTGAGTAGTTCATGAATGTTGAAGAAATTGAGTTTTTGACACAAGCTAAAATTTTCTAAATATACCTAATTTTTATTTGCACATTAAAATTCTCTGGGTTAAGGGCTTTTCAAAAACGTATATTTTGTTGCAATTTGCGTCATTTTTTGGCACATTTTTTGCTTAGTATTTAGATTTTTGCAAAGGAATTGAGTTTTTGCCACAAAACTCAAATTTTCTAATCCTAATATCTTTGAAACCAGATGGTGTAAACCGATGTTATTTCAAACTTAAACTATTTGATCTAACATAATTCAAAGTTTGAAATGTTAAAGGTCTACGACATCGAGTTGCTAATATATAGGGGGGAAACAGTTAGAGTTCGTGGCAAAAACTCATATCCTTTGCCTTTTTTTGCAGATTATTGAAGTAGAGTCCAAGGGCTTTCCAAAAACGTAACAAATGTTATAGATTTGTACCACAATAAGAAAATGGAGGGGGGTTCAATTTGACCCCCCTCCCCCTCCAGACAACCAGTATGTAAACTAAACGTCAGGCTAAATAGGGTTAAATATTGGTCAGTGTAAACATGTTTATTTCTGTGATTTAGTAAGTTACAAGTAAAACTATTTGCTTTGTAACAACATGAACTACATTTTAATATATTGCTCAAGTGTCGCGTGTCGTCTATCTATTCAAGAGTTTTCTGGTTCTAACTGTAAAAACACTGCGTTCTTTATACATATTCTGGTAGCCTGATTGTTATTATTTTGTATAGCAACATTCTCTTAAGTACATATTGTAGAGTGAAATACCAATATGTTAAACTTTACCAAATATCAATAGCATTATGCTGATTACTAATTTAGAATGCTAAGTTATACAAGGCTTTCGGAGCTCTTCACGCTCCCCTTTCTAACAATAATTTTAGCCTCTGAATGTTGCTATTTCTGCTAATGTTTTCTTCGTACAGTAAAAATTAAAAAGTTTCGCAGACTTTCATGTTTATTTGGTAAATCTTCTAAATTCTAAAAAAATATGGAGGGAAATTTTTAATTTTCACCAGTCATAAAACTTCCTTGGAATTAAAGGTGTCCACTAAAACAATCAATTCTGCTTGGTTTAGCCTAATAATTAAAAAAAAAAATCTGAAAACGTATCCACCCCCAAAGTAGGAGTTTTGAATGTCGAATTTGCGCTCATACTCAGGATTTACAGATCTTTAAAAAGTTTAATATGTCTCAAATGAATCCGAAAGAAGTTTTCCACAACATTGCATACTCAGTTCAACTACCTTACATAGCCGGTCACTCCCTTTAAAGGTAATTAATTCTTTTATTAAAAGGCTTAAAACAAAAATATGGACATATATTATGTATATTTAATCATACAAATCTTTTAAGTATTTTAAATGTCAATAGCTATTAATTAAGGGTCGCATGAAATTTTTTTGTTTTCAATAAGTTCACATTTTAGTCAGAATATTTTTATCTGTTTTAAATGAAAAAACTAGATTTCTTTTTACCAAAAATCGTTTGTTTTGTGATATTGAAATGATTTGAAATTGTATTCACAATAATTTGTCAAAAAACTTGTAAACTTGAGAAATTGTTGCATTTAGCTTCCCTCTATCTTAGTTAAAAAAGGGTCTGTTCTGAAGCTATACATGATTCACAGTGCATCCTGACTTAATCTGTATAAGGGAGATATCTTTATCAATAATTTGATAAACTATGTTGAGTTAAGATATTTATCTAAATTGTCTAACCCTGAAAGTAAAAAAGTTCTCCGTCCTTATTCCTAAAATAGAAATTTCATTGACAATCCCTTTATCTCTACTTAAATAAAGGTGAGCTGAATGCAACAATTTCTCAAGGAATATCAAACTATAATAAGAACTGTAATTGAAACTGTAAATTGAAGAGTTGTTCTGGACACCTGAAATATTCATGGACACCATATGAATCTATGAAAATGTTCATATTTACATAAGTAAATTTGAACTTAAGATTTACATAATACATTATACAACCTTTGGTTCCTCTGCTACCTTCCTCCAAGACATTTTTAAACAGACTAAAGAGTAAACTATCCTCCGAGGTTGAGATTTGGGTTTATATATTCTACTTACTCTATATATTGGGTACTATTGGGCTGACTCTTCTCCGGGGGTTCTCTACTCCGTTACTCCGGGCATATTCTACTCCGGTACTCCTGGCATATACTACTCCGTTCCTTCGGACATATTCTACTCCGATACCCTTGACATATTCTACTCCGTTACTCCGGGTATATTCTACTCCAGTACTCCTGGCATATTCTACTCCGATACCCCTGACAAAATCTACTCCGATACCCCTGACATATTCTACTCCGTTACTCTGGGTATATTCTACTCCGGTACTCCTGGCATATACTACTCCGTTCCTTCGGACATATTCTACTCCGATACCCCTGACATATTCTACTCCGTTACTCCGGGTATATTCTACTCCGTTACTCCGGGTATATTCTACTCCGTTACTCTGGGTATATTCTACTCCAGTACTCCTGGCATATTCTACTCCGATACCCCTGACATATTCTACTCCGATACCCCTGACATAATCTACAGTCTACTCCGTTCCTTCGGACATATTCTACTCCGTTACTCCGGGTATATTCTACTCCAGTACTCCTGGCATATTCTACTCCGATACCCCTGACTTAATCTACTCCGTTCCTTCGGACATATTCTACTCCGTTACTCTGGGCATATTCTCACTCAGTTTCTCCAAGCATATTATTTATTATTACTTTGGGCATATTCTACTCAGATTCTTTGAGTATATTCTACTCTTAATCTCTTAAGTGTTTTAGTGATATATGTAAATTGACTGATTTGCGATAAAAAAGCGCTTTTGTTCGCTACTAATCTTACTTCTATCTGTTGCGTCTATAAGGAGAAAAGTGTTAAAGACGTCTCATACCGAATAACGTGGCGTCCATACAAATTGAGAAAATTGCAACATACGACTTAGACCGTAAAAAAATCAATTTAATTTCAAACAAATCATACAGATATTACAACCTATAGTCATCGATTATCTTTCGCCACATTTGTATATAGTTGATTTTTCATAATATGTTTTAATTGTTATGATCTGAGAGTTACAATTATAAAAACATTTATTCCTGTTTCGAGGATTTTTGGTAATGAAGACGACATTTTAATATTTTCAAGGAATGTTCGAAAACAAGTTGTAAGTTAAATATTATTTTAAAAAACAAAATCAAAACTAGTATGAAATATCAAATATATACAACGTTTGTTGGAATATCTTCCGTTAACGCCATTAATAAAATTGAGATTGTTACTAACGGTAACTTTTAAAAAACTGAAAATACCGTTAACGAAACGAACGTCCAGTTCTTACCTTTCAAGCTAACGGCTATCTAAATTGTTGTTTTTTAACGGTTGTAACTAACCGTTAACGATCATTGACGGGAAAAAATTTGAACTTGTTCAGCCCTGCAGAATGTCAAGAATATCTTGAATGTCAAAAATATAAATCTGACAATAATTATTCAAACCGAATGTTGTCCTTTTTTCATATTTTTTAAGAAGCATTGCTTATTCAAGATTTTATTCTCAAGTAATATTTTTGCAGATTTTTACGAAATCTTCTTCCTTTGTTTTATCTTGTCAGGAAAGTCGGAAGTTTTAACAATATCTCGTCCATAAACTCTTTAACGGTTGGGAACACAGTTTATAGAGGTCCGGGGTGTAAAGAGAAATTATTTAGTATACAATTATATAGATTAACTTTCTCATCCTCTTATCCATAGACTAATCAAAATAACGGATAAGACACTAGATGTCGTCTTTTCAAGATTTATGTGTTTTTGTTCACATTAACCCTGAGGCAGAAGTTTATAGGAGTTACGCGTAGTCGGCGTAGAACAGGCTCTCTCTCTGTCATGTATTTCTATGGCATTTTGATTTATTAATACAACATTGTTGCATTGAAAGATATTTTGTTATCCTGTTCGTAAATAGTATATAAGTTTTATGATTTATTACTTTGTAATCACCATTTACACAAGTATTTAGAAGGGGAATTATCAACCGTGATTTATAGCGATTTCAAAACTGGTTCTAGTTCTAGTTCTAGTTCTAATTCTAATTCTAGTTCTAGTTCTAGTTCTAGTTCTAGTTCTAGTTCTAGTTCTAGTTCTAGTTCTAGTTCTAGTTCTAGTTCTAGTTTCTAGTTCTAGTTCTACATCTACAGTAGTATAGGATTTGCTCCCATCATACACCGAAACTCAGAGAAACTGATTTTTCCATCTCCATTTCTATCCACTACCTGGAAAAAAAAACATTTATCAACTTTAAAAAAAAAAAATTATAAAAAAACCTAATCCTGGAAAAATTTATAATTTTGAATCTCAAAAAATTGTATAAATTGGTAGGAAAAATTAAGATGATTTGAATATTTTAATTAAAATTAAAATCTTGTTCAGTATAAACTTTGCTCAATAGCGGTAAAAAAAAACCTTGCTATTCAAAATGTTTGAAAGCTATATGAGAGTAAAATGAACTTTAGTGTCTAAATCCTATAAAATCGAAATATAAGTAAATTGAGAGACCCATGTTATGATGGTTCGGTAATATTGTTTTCCAAAGGCGGTTAAGCTAATTAAAAATACGCTTTCTTTATAAAGTAATAAAATAAAACCAATAAAATAGCATGTAGGTAGGGGGGGGGGGGGCTTGCCTGCATAAATCTGCATATCAAGTGGACCTGGGATTCTCTTGGGATAGAAGTTTAAACTCAATTATCTCTGATTACCATTAGGTTATACACTTTCTAAAGATTTTTCACTTTCTACAGATTCTACACTTTCTACAGAGCATAATGTTATAAACTTTCTACATATAACCATTAGGTTATACACTTTCTTCAGGTTCTACATTTTCTACAGATTACCGTTAGATTCTACACTTTCTACACTTTCTATAGATTCTACATTTTCTACAGATTTTTCACTTTTCTCAGATTTATCACTTTCTACAAATTCTACACTTTCTTCAGATTCTACACTTTCTACAGATTTTTCACTTTTATACGCATTCTACAGATACTACAGATTCTACAGATCACCATTTGGTTTTACACTTTCTACAGATTTCATAGACTCTTCAATTCTTAGTTTATTCATCATTTAAGGCTTTAAGGTGTATTGGAGAGGTAATAAACTGTGCGAATGAGGGAGGGCTATGAAGACTATTCCTTCCAGAAACAAAGGTCTGGGGGGTCAATTTGACCCCCCCCTCTCCCTATCGTTTTTTTGCTAAAGCTCAAAAAGTATTTGAGCTAGGATAGGAAGCTCAAATTTTCTGGCTTTTCTAACTAACACATTCCCTTAACTTAACGCTAAAAGCTGGGCTTCTATACTTACTGCCTACGTTCTTAGACATACTGCCTAAATGCCTTATTTTTATACCTACACCCGACTAAATCTATATTTAGACCAACTTCCAGTCATTGGATTTCAACATTTTATTGCTCTTTGGAAAGCCTAAAACAAAAGCAAGCAAATTGTACAATTTTTGCAAAAAAAATTTAAAGAGATTTTTGCACAGACGGCTTTAAAGGGAATTAGCACATTAGGGTTAAGCAAGCCTTCTACTTGGCTGCCCTCCTACTGAAAAGTTTAAAAAGGTCAAAAACCCCCCCGTAAGTAAGGGCCCCAAATTCGATCTGCAGTTTCTTTCCAAACATTAGCAAGTCTAGAAGAATTTTTGATCCTAACACTGATATCATGATATGCATATCATTGAGGTCCGTTTTTAAACATTTCAGGTTTTCATATTTTTAAAAGGCTCCGCAAGAACCTGAGATATTAATTCTATTTCAAAATTGCATGACAAGTTTGCGAGACAAGTTTGCGAGACAAGTTTGCGAGACAAGTTTGCTTTTTTTACATGATGCAAATTTTTTACTCTGAGTTTGACCAAAGATATTTATTAAAAATGTTTTTTTTTAAACTTTAAAATCTGGAATATTCTACCTCTATGATTTTCTCAGCTTCATCTGAGGTACAGAGCTGACATAAGACAAATTTCATCTCCTCCATTGTAATGCAACCTACGTGAGTAAAAATATATCTCAAAGTCAATGTAAGTAGCATTAAAAGGGAAGAAATAGGGAAAGTAATTGATATGATTTTGAAAAAAACTTTTTGTGCAAAAAATCTAAAACAGCCCTCAAAAAATATACACAGACCCCCCCCCCCCCCGCCACACCTATTTAGGATTTACCTTCGTCGTCTTTGCTAAAAACTCTAAAGGTTTCTTTATAATCCGCTTCCTCTTCTCTCTCAGCTAGTTTAGTAGCTAGTAGGTTAGCAAACTCATCCCATTCTAGCTAGATAATATATATAATTAGCTATCTTCCTCCTCTCTCTCAGCTAGTGTAGTAGCTAGTAGGTTAGCAAATTCATCGAATTCTAGCTAAATAATATATATATATTACATAATTAGCCTTCTTTCTCCTCTCAGGAATTCATGCTTTTTGTTTCCTTGTATTTATGAATCTCTGAAACTGTAAGTGCATTGCATCTTTGTCACAAACTCTGATTTTCTATTAAGTATATCTTTGCAACCCAATTAAATATGCAGTCCTAAATAATTTTAGTTTGAAATATCAAAGGTTTACATTATCAGGTTTAAAAGAAGTAGGGATTCGAACATTTGAATATGTGGCAAAGGCTCACTTTCTTTGTTTCTGTTTTGCTAAATTATTAAAAAGTCAATAAGATCAGAAGGCAGAAGACTAAATTTAATTTTGGAAACATCATATATTTTTTAGGTCGTCTTTACAAAAACCTCCTTTGTGGGTAAGGATGTATTCATGTAAATTGTAAGATACTATGTGAACACCAACTATTGTTTACTGAGCTAAAGACTGATTGTGTTCAGGGTTTAGAAGAATTGGAAAATACTTAATAAAAATATATCTGACAGTTTGGATAGATTAATAGAACCACCTTTTACATTTCCCGCCATTACTCAAACTTTTCTAAAAACATCTTCTTATAAAGATATTTACTACAAAGAAACCATTAAAAATACCTCATGGAACCTTTAAAGGAGGTTGGGGGGGGGGGCAGGGGCTACCCCTCGCTTAGTCTAGTTGTTTTAATGCTATTCTTATTTTTTAAACTATCCTCTGAAACGTGCAGGATCGTAGAATTGCGGTCGGAAATAAAAAAAAAATTAAAAGCCCAAAGTGTGAGTCTATTATGGTTTTTACCATGTATGCGTGAGCGTGTGCCCACACCCTTTAATCAATAAATTATTAAAGTTAAAAATGGTTTTTACCATAACAGACAATCCCAGTATACTTCATAGCATAATGTTTTAACATTTAAAGAGATTACTAGGGATAATTGTTAATGAATATAGAAATAAATGTGCAAAGACTAGAAATAAGATGACTGAGCTAATTTATTCTGCCGCAAATATAAAGAAGTGGAAAATATTGTTCAAGAAAACAACCTGAGCTTGCAAAATCAACATTCTTTCTAGTTTGTGTTTAAATGCTATGGACAGACTATATATATATATATCAGAATATATGATATAAATATATTCATATCAATACAAAATTGTTTATTGAAATGGTAATATAATTATATAACGCAGAGGCCATAACATATAAGTCACTACAATATCTGCATAATGAATAGAGATTGGACGACATTATTTGCACGAAAATCGTGCAAAATCATTTTGTGAAAAATCACACAACTGTTGTGCAAGAGAATTGACTGTTTCAATGGAATTGGAAACCCTTATAAATACCGGTTTAAATGAAATACCAGGTATTAAAATTGTATTATATTAAAGGGTCACTTTAGTTGTTACCTTTCCCGTATTATTAGTATCTGTAATATTGATCATATCCTGAACTTCAGCTTCAGTAGGGTTGTGTCCTCTTTACAAAATAAATATGATTAACCAGAAGTCAGAACACTTGTTTTATCAATCTTAGGATCATGCATTAATCTTAATCTTATGCAGACTAATGGAATAATTTATTTCCTCGGCGATATCCCTTGGTCGGTAAGCCCTACGCTGCACTGCTGCAGGGTCAACTTGAACTGAGGATCAAGAATGTATCATCAAATTCTCAAGTATCCATAAGTATATAAGATGGAGCTTTATAATTCATTCCTAGATTCACAACAAAAATGTATCCTTAAAGATTAAACTATTAATCATTATAAATTAAAGAAACTGAGCAATGACAACTTCGCCTTGCTTTATTTTGCAGATATTACTGGAGAACAAAGAGGTTAAAAAGAAGAAAGGAATGATGAGAAAAAGAAAGAAAATGATAATATGAAAAAATGAAAAAATAAGGAAAATATTAAAATAGAATTAACAGACAAATCAATGTCTTCTATGTGATCTCAAATTTGAGAAAGTGAGATTGGTAATTTATTCCTATTATATTATATTCTGATAGGATTTTGCTAGAAGAAGATTTTCAGAAGTTTTGTTTTATTTCTACTTACGCCGTTCTGAAAGCACTTTGCAGCTCCTGAAACATTTAAAATTAAATAATTTTTTAATTCCAAAAATCTATTTAAATTATTAATTTTATTATTTTTCGTTACTAGGCACATTGTCAATAGAAGAATGTGATTCATTTACAGAACTGCCCTGTTATTTCCCGTTTGTCCCACAGGTATGCAGCTTTAGTACTGGTAAATTGGAGGTACAGTCCAAACTAGAACAGTAGTGTACAGCTTTCTCTAGTGGGTATGCAGCTTTAGTACTTGTAAATTGGAGGTACAGTCCAAACTAGAACAGTAGTGTACAGTTTGCTCTAGTGGTCCGGCACTTAAAGAGAGATTATTGTTTTAATTTGATAATGTTTACCACAGCAGAGATTGTTCCATCTTTGTTTCTATCAAACTCAGAGAACACCTTCCTAAAGTAAAAAACTTAATATGCAGAGTTACCCACAAAGGTTGAGAATTTAAGGACGACCTTAAACTCTTTTAAACTTACAATGTAGAGGTTGAATTAGGCTTTCTGTATTAAATAAAGTCTCATAATGGTATTTTAGACCATTTAGCGTAGAAAGATTTAAGATTTTAGTTGCAGGAAAGAATGAAATAGATTTTGTACAATCGTCCCAGAAGTCGCATTCTTTTAGGGTAACCCTGTACGTTGGTCGCAAATTCAAACTGGAAAAGTAAAGACGACCTTTAATCAATACAAATTGCAATTGTAACGTAACTTTAAGTTTCTAATCCTTATATATATATATATATATTAGGATGTGTTGACGTTTATTGGTTACAACTCTAAGCAAACGAACAAACACCCTGAGAAGCCTAATTTATATTTACAAATTAACCAAACACGTAGGGTTGTTAATCGTTTTTGAAAACGATCGTTAAACGATTGTTTTTTTCGTTTTCCTATCGTTTTTTGTTTCGTTTTCCGATCATTTAAAAAACAATCTGGGTTAGGTTGTATATAGTTAGATATAAAGTTTGTTTTACCTGTATAACTCTATATCTTCAGGTGGAAGATTAAACTGTTTTGTTACTGATTCCTCGGATCCGAACATTCTAGAATTCAGTTTAAACATTACAGCTGACCGTATTTCTCTTAATTGTGCTGTATTGCTATTGTACAGGGGTAGGCGATTTTATCAATACAATGAAGACGACGTTTTTGTTTAAGTTTTGATTGTTACCAAGCGTTATTAGAATTACAAGTTTACAAGTAATCAAAGAGAAGCTTTTTAAATTGAAAGCTTCTCTTGATTTCTATATTTATATGCATTTATGCTCTTTAACAGCTTGATTGCTATTGAAAATTGTGTTTATTGTATTAATCGCAGTTACCACTTTACTGTACCATCTTCTGTACTTTACTACATTTTCCCTCGAAAACTGTTACTTTAAAAAAAACGACCCTTCGTTAACGACCTTTTTAAGAGAAAATACATTTTTTGGTCGGAAATCCTAGGTCAGAAAAAATTCATGATACTTCTCTCGATTAAAAAAAAACTAGAATCAAAACAACATTCGTTAATACATCGTACATAAAAAATTAAAAATGATTGTTTTTCGTTTTTTAAAAGTTTAAAACGAAACGATAGTTTTCAGAAAAAATAAAAAAACGATTATTTGAAATTGAAAATCAAAAATTCTAGTGTTTCTTAAGTCGCTACAAAGTTTTATGTTTATTGTATCCTATCCAACCCTGTTAGTGTTTAGTATCAATATTTTTAATAGCATGGTGAGCCTTCTAATTAAACTAAAGTTAAACATCAGCAATGCAGATTTTCGTATTGATAATCAGTTAAAATAAACAAAAATATATAAACTCTCTAAGAATAAATAACATAAACACGAAAATATTAACTCTCTAAGAATAAATAAAATAAACACGAAAATATAAACTCTCTAAGAATAAATAAAATAAACCAGAAATATAAACTCTAAGAATAAATAAAATAAACCAGAAATATAAACTTTCTAAGAATAAATAAAATAACCGAAAAATATATGAACTCTCTCAGAATAAATTAAGTAAACAAGAATGTATAAAATCTCTAAGAATAGATAAAGTAAGCAAGAATATATAATAAACTCTTTCAGAATTAAAGAAATAAACAAGAAAATATGAACTCTCTAAGAATAAATAAAATAAACTCTAAAATATAAACTCTTTAAGAATAACTAAAATAAACTCTAATATATAAACTCTCTAAGAATAAATTAAATAAACTCTAAGATATAAACTCTCTAAGAATAACTAAAATAAACTCTAATATATAAACTCTCTAAGAATAAATAAAATAAACTCTAAAATATAAACTCTCTAAGAGTTAATAAAATAAACTCTAAAATATAAACTCTCTAAGAATAAATAAAATAAACTCTAAAATATAAACTCTCCAAGAATAAATAAAATAAACTCTAAGATATGAACTCTCTAAGAATAAATAAAATAAACAAAAATATATAAACACCCTAAGAATAAATAAAATAACCAAAAATATATTATCTCACACAGAATAAAATAAAATAAACAAGAATATATAAATTTACTAAGAATAAATAAAGTAAACAAGAATTAATAAACTAAACAGGAATATATAAACTCTCTCAGAATAAATAAAAAACAGGTATATATAAATTGTCTAAGAATAAATAAAGCAACCAAGAATAAATAAACTAAACAAGAAGTTATAAACTCTCTCAGAATAAATAAAATAAACAAGAATGTATAAATTTTCTAAGAATAAATAAAGCAACCAAGAATAAATAAACTAAACAAGAAGTTATAAACTCTCTCAGAATAAATAAAATAAACAAGAATGTATAAACTCTCTAAGAATAAATAGAACTGACAAGAATATATAACTATCTGTAAGAATAAATAAAGTTTTAATAAATCATATATTTCGATTCTGACCCTCTAAATTAAATTAAACATTAAGGTCTTTATAAATAAATATGTTTCACAAGGAATATATAAAAAACTCTAAACAAAAAAATTAAAAAAAGACGAATGTAAGTTCTCCAAGATCGCCAAACGTGAACAGAAAATATGAAAAAGTTGAAGAAGAATATAAAAACCTGATTTAAGCCTAGTTGAAGACTGTAGAGACCTTTAATAATATTATTGGTTTGAAGAATGTTCAAAGACTGCAGTATAGCAGTATAGCAGGACTGCAGGTGTACCAAGCATAGTAAATATTTAACTTATTAATATATAATTATAAGAAGTCAATATAAACCAGGCCTGTCTCATCATTAGAGGAGCTAAGTGGGTATTTACAGGGGCAATATAGAGGAGCTAAGTTGGTATTTACAGGGGCAATATAGAGGAGCTAAGTTGGTATTTACAGGGGTAATATAGAGGAGCTAAGTTGGTATTTACAGGGGTAATATAGAGGAGCCAAGGAGATATACACAGGGGCAATAAAGAGAAGCTAAATGGGTATTCAATAGAGGAGCTAAGTTGGTATTTACAGGGGTAATATAGAGGAGCCAAGGAGATATACACAGGGGCAATAAAGAGAAGCTAAATGGGTATTCACAGAGCAAAAAATAGGAGCAAAGGGAGTATTCTCAGGGGCAATATAGAGGAGCCAAGGGGGTATTCAAAGGGCCAATATAGAGGAGCCAAGGGGGTATTCACAGGGGCAATATAGAGGAGCAAAGAGAGTATTCTCAGGGGCAATATAGAGGAGCCAAGGGGGTATTCACAGGGGCAATATAGAGGAGCAAAGGGAGTATTCTCAGGGGCAATATAGAGGAGCAAAGGGGGTATTCACAGGGGCAATATAGAGGAGCTAAGGGGGTATTCACAGGGGTAATATAGAGGAGCTAAGGGGGTATTCACAGGGGCAATATATAGGAGCTAAATGGGGTAATCACAGGAGCAATATAGAGAATCCATGGGGGTATTCACAGAGGCAATAAATAGGAGCCAAGGGGGTATTCACAGGAGCACTATAGATGAGCCATGGAGGTATTCACAGAGGCAATATAGAGGAGGAAAGGGGGTATTTACAGGGGCAATATAGAGGAACCAAAGAGAGTATTCACAGGAGCAATATAGACAAGCGAAGGGGGTATTCACAGGGGCAATATAGAGGAGGAAAGGGGGTATTCTCAGGGACAATATAGAGGAGCCAAGGGGTATTCAAAGGGGCAATACTGAGTAGTTAAGGAAGTACTCACACGGGCAATATAGAGTTGCTAAGGGGGAAGTTCAGCATAATTTTTAATCAGAAGGGGGGGGGGGTGCTCGTAGCTCAATCTTTTATTCATCACAACCCTATTCCGGTTGGGAAATGAAAGAAATATAATGAAATACCTACTTATATATTTAATTCAAATATATGTAAAAATTACCTTAACACAGTTCTTGGCAGAAATTTATTTTCTATTGCAAATGATTGTTCTGTAAATCTTTCGGATCTTAGTAAAATGTAAGTTAAGAAACAAATGAAATATTTTGATGTCCCATTGTAATTGGAAAATTCGCAATTTTTAGTTCTGGTATATTTTTACTGAAAAATTGTTTTTCAATGGTTCTCAAGGTTTCAACTGAACAGCGTATATTTAATACTTTAGAATATACTAAGAAGAAAGGAACTAGAGAATTTAAATAACTTTTTCTTAAAAATTAGCTCAGAACTGAAAATTGCGAATTTTATTATTACAATTTTGCCAATTTTCTTTGATTCTGTGATTCAATCTCAATAAAATTTTAGATCTAGAGAGAAATAATATGAATGCACATTTTTGTTTTTATGAACTTTTGATTTTCAGAGATTGCAGAGTACCAAAAAAAAATTACAAATTTTCAAAAAATAAATGAAAAGACACCATACAGGATATTTACACAAAAAAAGGTACAGGTTTGCACCAGGCGACGCAAATCACACTTTTTTTTTACTCACCCTGTAGATTTATTGATTATATCTTGTTTTATTGAGAAAAGTTTACACAAAGCACAAATTCAAGTTATTCTCAAAACCTGTTTTATTTTGTGATTTAGTTCTCAAATAGTTTGATTCGTACAAGATATACATGTAAAAAATAAAAAAAATAGTCTATATTTATATTAAAGTCTTAATATCAACTAAAATAGGCTTTAAAATATAAATTGTGTTTGTAAGATCAAAAGCTATTTTTTCTCATGTTGAGATTATTTGAAGAACAAAATGTTGTAGTTGTAAAAGCCAAATTATCTTTTATTGGAGACCAAACCCGGAGCGTGGAGACGAGACAGAAGGGCGGAGGCTTGGAAACGTAGTGAGATGCACAGAGACGGTTTTGCGGGTCATTTTGCACATCAGAAGGCTCTATAGGTCATTTCGAGGGGCTTATGGCGGCCCTGCATCCCCTCCCTCCCTATACCTCTTTCATTTTTCGCGAACACTCCCTTCAACACAACATGTAGTATTCTCCCTTCAACACAACAGGTAGGAAATTTCCTTGGAAGTCCGTTTACTAAAGGTTGTTTGTTTACATTATACCAGTTCCTAACCAATTCTTGAACATCAAACCAATAAAAGAAAATTTCCCTGATTTGTGGCAAATTGGTTCAGTGGTCCCAGATCTATGATCGACCTGACAGACACACAGATAAACCTAGATTACTACAATACAATATACAATTTAAGGTATGATTAGCTCCGTTAAATGTTTAAAGAATAGTTTGAACAAGAGGTTGGGTTAAAGAGATAATATCTTTATTCTCTTCTTTCACATTAGCATACAAATGTTAAATTTCAAGACAATAGGGGCTTAATCAGAGATAATAAAGATAATGTACATTTTTTGGGGAAAAGGGGAGATATCATATATTTGTGGTACTTTTTCAGAACTAATGAATGAGATGAATTTTTGATGCACTTTTCGGAAATAATAAAAGAGACATGGTGTTTTGGGTGAAATGTTTTTTTAAAATGAAAAAGAAATTATTGTTGGTGACTTTTTCAAAAATAATGAAGCTTAGAGATAAATGAAAAACAGGAAATAATGATTTAGACATTTATCATTTTAAAGATTACAAATTAAAGCTGACAGAATGAAAGGGAGATAATGTTATTCTTTTTTTGTGTATTTTTTTTAGAAATAATGTAAGAGAGATAACTTTTTCAAAGATAATGAAGAAGAAATCGTTTATGGAATCATTTATTAACGATAATGAGAGAAAGATATTTATGCTTTTAAGTATCAAAAAAAGTGTAACATGACGTGCTTTTTTTCTCAATTAACATTAACAGTAAAAGCTATTATTTTAAATAATAAAACTGCACCAATTCATAAAACTAATAAACGCAGTACAGTCGTCTCTTCTAACGTGTAATGTTTTGTGGAGAACCCTGCATATTTATCTCCTGGGCTAAGCTGAGATTTTCTGCAGATTCGTTTATCTTCTCTTAATCCTTGAAGCAGACCTTTTTAGGATATTACACAGGATTTTATTGTATCTACATGTTATATCATTACACATAGCAATTTTTATATTCAGGTTTTAGAGCATACCAAATACCCGGTAGCAAAAAACCCTTCCTAATCAAACAATATATAACTATATTTTCCTTCCTATATTTTCCCATTCCTTCCCTTTTCAGCCACCTTCCCCCCCCCCGTTCAAAAACTTGTTATCTCAGAACATATCTTCTACAAATTCCNAATAAAATCAGGAATAATAACTCGGACCTTGAGTTTCCCGATTATTCGCTTATTTTTGAATCATGGATAGACATGTGATTTGCCAATTTGATTTATTTTATTGTGTTAATTATTTTTATATCGCCGCCAAAGTGCAGTACACTGTAAAACAGGTTTCTATTTATAAACATCATTTTGTCATTACATAGTACAAACTTGTTGACGTTTTTATCAGTTAATATTGAATCACTGTTTCCGAACTAAAAGATTTTATCCCGTGGTCGTTATAGGTATGATAATTGTAGTTGTTTTTTTGTTACTTTAAATTGATAATTCTAATTTTATGTAATTCCAGTATGAAAACACCTGTTTGAGATGAAGAAATATAGATTGTCTTCTTTTGTCTCTCCGTTCTTCATAGCCGTGTTGGGGTTAAGTTTTTAATAGGGTTACGAAACACCTTGTTTACATTATGTAAGTTGACCGACCAAGTATATATAAAGCTGCCGTCATCACATTATCAATCAAAAGCTTTCTTCCCACCGTTCAGCTAAGAACATATTGTTAGCTTTCTTCCCACCGTTCAGCCAAGAACAGATCCTTAGGTGTCTTCCCACGGTTCAGCCAAGAACAGATCATTAGCTTACTGCCACTGTTCAACCAAGAACAATTTGCAGCAATAAACATGATCAGAGACTTCCTCATCATCATGCTCATGGTTATATTTCTTCTAACCGATTTTTCATCGGATATTCTCCCAGAACCCACGTCACTCACAATGAAGTGCACCCTGTCTGCATATCGGAATATTGTTCATTATAACTTAGATTTAGTTAAAAATTGCGTAAGTGTCCTTATTTACTTAAATATTTACGATCAAGTTGTCGTAAACCCGGGATATTGGTGTGCGACGCGCCCTCTAAGCCTAGAACCATGTACCGGGCCGAATTTCAACTAGCCAGAGCAAGTTGTGCAGTACAATACAGACTATATGACTCAAAACGGGAGAGTACGCCAAATTAATGAATTGGTGAAGTTCATGTGTTACAGGTCTGGTAGAAAATAAGCTGAAATAAGACCAATCAAACTAAAAACTCCAGATGTGATGAACATTCCAGAATATCCAAAAACATTGTAGATTGATGGAACCTAAAAAAGAGTTTTTTTTAAAATGAACATACGTGTAATTCTAAGTGATCCTCCATGCAAAGAGGTGATGCCCATATTAAGTATAAATTATTTGTGAATATTTATAAATATTTAAAAACTCCATACATTTACAATTCTGGGTTCTCTACAAAAATGAATTGCGCATTTCTACTACAAGAAAACACAAACGTGACATATTGACATCTTCGCATGAAGGGTCCCTTAATTAAGTTTATTTAAACTTAAAAATTAAGTTTATTTAAACTTAATTCTTTTTTAAATTTTCGTTTATTCCTTGATTTACAGTGGGACTCATGAAACTGTGGAGAAGGAAGACGAGTGTTAGACTCAAGTTATTATTTTAGAAAGTCCATTAAACATGGTATTTCTTTTATTTTATTGATTTTCACGCTAATGATTGATTAATTAAAATAACAGATAGGACACTAGATGATGTATTTTCAAGATTCATATGAAACTCGTTCACAATAACCCTGAGGCAAAAGCCCAGAGGGTTTCGCGCAGTCGGCGTAGATCAGGCTCTATCCGTCTTGTAATTCTACACCGACTGCGCAAAACTCTTCTGGGCTTCTGCCTCAGGGTTCTTGTAAACGAATTAAAACCAAATCATAATTTTTATTTTATTGATTTTCACGCTAATGATTGATTAATTAAAATAACAGATAGGACACTAGATGTTAAATCTTCAAGATTCATATGAAACTCGTTCACAATAAACCCTGAGGCAAAAGCCCAGAGGGTTTCGCACAGTCGGCGTAGATCAGGCTCTATCCGTCTTGTAATTCTACACCGACTGCGCAAAACTCTTCTGGACTTCTGCCTCAGGGTTCTTGTAAACGAATTAAAACCAAATCATAATAATATGACATCTAGAGTTCTATCTGTTATTTTAATTAATCTATGATAAAACTGTTTGATTTATAACAATAACAAATGCACATAAACTTGCCAAAATGTCGTCTTTCTATTTCAAAGTTTTATCAGTCCTATTATTTTTCACCTTGGTGATGATAAGAATTATTGCGCAGTATCCTAGGTTTTGAGTAAACAGTAGACCAAAGTTTGCCTAAACACAATCAGAAATTGATTAAGGAAATCAGCATTTCTTGTTCAAAGTGTAAAACGTTTAATAAAAATATGTTAATGGTATGTTTAAACATTAGAAATGTACATATGTAACAAAATTCGTGATGCTTTTTCAGAGATAAAAAGAACATGATATTTCAAATTAGAGTAGAAAAACAGAAAATAAATGCATAATGCATTATAACTATAAGGTTTCAATAAAGAATGTTTTGATTTGACTGAAAAGGTTGTGCCTGGTAATGTTTCTGTCCGAAATAGTCAGCAAGAGCTGCAGCAATTATTGCATAAATGCCAGGAAATGTGGCAAAAATACAAAACATCCAGATTCCGTAGCTAGCGTGAACACCAACTGTATCAGTTCCTGCAAAAATATTTTTATATTTCAATGTGCACAAATATATTTATTTTGTAGTCTGTAATATTATTTTTGTCATATATTATATAGATTATCATTATTTTTATTATTGTGATTAATATCATTATTATTATCTAAATATTAAAACTGGGTGTTCGTATATATGTTCCCTATAGCTGGCCAAACCAACAAAATCAAAAAAAATGTTATATTTTTTTAATATTTTTTCTCCAAATTTATTTTTCCCTTTTGCTAGTTATAATTATTATTATTATCATTATTAATACCAATAAGTGGAAGCACTGGCATGGTAATTGTAGTAATGGTAACAACAGATCCAATAATCATATAGCATCTTCGAAACTTTAATCTAGAATATATATATTTATTAAGATATTAGATAAACAAAGCATGGTTTTTAAAAACGAAAATATCCTTTTGATACTTTTACTAAAAATTCTCGTGATTTAAGATACAAAAAAAACTACAAACTACAAAATTCGGATTTATTTCAGTCAAGTCTATTTTCCGAAGGTTAGGAAATTTTGCGAAATTAATGACACGACTTTGTGATCTCACATTTCTACTATTAAGATTTAGATCTAACAAGAAATTTACTTTAATTGAATGTATTTTTGAGGAAAAGAATTGCTGACATAATTTTAAAAAATTTTAAAATTATATCAGCGTTTTAGATTTGCTATATATTACCTGTCATAAAGCAAACCCCAGACAATCCTGCAGAATCCATTGAGAATATTGGAAACTATCCCAATCTTGTAAAAGTAATGGTCGTCGTTGATGAATGTGAATCCAAAGGTTTTTGAATAGTTCTGCAGGATTCCGTTAGCCAGGGAGATTCCCAAGAAACACAGCCACAGCTGAAATATGTGAAGGGAGAGTAAACGATATTTTAGTGGTCCTTTATTTAGAGGCATTGTTTGCCTATTAAAAATACAAAGAATAACTAGGATAACAGAGATCCGGATTCCAGACATTTACAAAAAATTATGCATCAATTTGCAAAACCTGTGTATTGAATTTGAGCCGCGGCTTAAATCTTCCAAAAAAGGGTTTCAATTGAGCACCGGCTTAAATCTTAAAAAATTGAATACAATCTTAAGTGGAACCAACCATATTTGAGCCGTGGCTAAAATTTAAGCCGCGGTTCAAGTTCTTTAAATTCTACCTCTAAATTTAATGTATTTGAGCTAAGTCGCTAAACTGCCAACTGCCGGTTAAAATTTAACCACCGATTCAAAGATAAAGATTAAGGAAGGATTTAAATCCATGGTTTAAATAACCGGGGGCGGTATGGCAGTTCGAATCCATTCAATTCGGCCATGAACTTTCAAAATAGAAACACAATTAACCAATCAGAGTTATCTTTTGGTCAAAGAAACCAAAAGTGATTTGAGATAAAAGATATGCTTGAAATTATTTCCCCTGTTTCGAACAAATTGGGTGAAAATCTGTATTTTTGAATCAGTAAACAATAATAATTTGTTTGAAATATTCTCCTTCTTGCGGCAAAGCACATTTTAGTTAAATCTGTTACCTGATAAAATGTTCTTGTTTTCAAGAGCTGGACTGGAGACAAATTTTGTTCATCACCTTCTAAATTCTCCTTCTTCTCTTTTTCCCCATGCTCCTCTTTCTCCTCCTTCTCATCCTTTTCCTCCTCTCTGACCTTCTTCTTCTCCTCCTTCTCCTCCTCCTCCTTCTTCTCCTCCATCTCCTCCTCATTCTTTTTCCGGTTCTTCTGTGCGTTCTCATTTTCTTCCACGTTCAATCTTCTTCATTAAAATATATTTTTTTTTGTTTTCAATAACTTATTATTTTACAGAGAGAAGAGGTTTATGATTTGTTTTAAAATTTTGTTGCTGAATTAAAAAGTTTCTAGAGTAGTGTTTAAGAAATTTAATTCTACCTCTGAATAGTTGTTTAAAAATGGGACCTTTTGTATCATGACGAACTAATCTCTTCAAATAAACCTGTCGAGTTGAAGTTCTACAATACAAGCAGTGGAGGAGGTGTACTGGGCTGCCAGAGTGGATGAAGAGGAGGTATACTGGGCTGCCAGAGTGGATGAAGAGGAGGTATTCATGATTTCTGGAGAGGATATAAGGAGAACAGCCAGTATCCCAAGGATAGATGAAACCCCTGCTAATACAAGGAACATGTACGGAACCCTGACAACATATAGAAAAATGAAAAGTTAATACACATAAATTCAGCCAGTCTACATTTGCTGCGCAAAACGGCGCTGGGTCCACTACACACTAGGTACACTATAGACGAGCTGGTACGATTTCACTACATCATTAAATCCTTGTGCCGGTTCGGATTATGCAACGATAGGACTGATGACAATGCAGTAACGAGTACCAGCCTTTTAGTTCTGGTTCTAGACTAGAGTTTGTATTCGAGTATCGCTAGAGTTGCACCTAGATACGTTTTATAAAACCAGGTCGACAGTTGAAATCCAAAACTTTAACAGCAAACTCATATATCAGTATCAGAATCCTCGCCAGGTTTGGTTTGGTTTGGATTGGTTTGGTTTGGTTTGGTTGGGTTTGGTATAATGAGAGAATCTTGAGTCATAGCTACAATAAGTGCAAACAGAACTTCCCCTTTTTTCGGAAATACCATGGTATTAAATCTGTAGAGAAGAGATAGAGATAGAGAAGAATAAACTCTAGAAATGTGTTAAACTCTGTGATTAAAGCAATAAACCTGCCTGTCGAGCACTGATTGATCTATGAAGTATTTATCACAAGACGACTCAACATCTGTACAGTTGGTAGCCATCACTGCCTTCCAAACAATATTTTTTAGATACATTTAAGGATCAAATGTTAAGAAATTCAAATGTAAATGTAAAATTATGTCAGTTTTTAGACCATTTCATGCACTAATTCAAAACGGTACATTTCAACCCTTTTTTGTGATAAAGAATGATTAGGATATCCATGTTTTTACTTTACAAATAATTATTTTCAATTGTGGTTTCTCCAAATAAAACTTCAGTATTAAATACTTTTGTACATACAAAAACGATAAGGACAGTCCCCAGAAGAGAAATCTGGCAAAAAAACAACTTTTTTTTACACCATGATTTTTATAAACTATTGAAATGTATATTGATCTCTATTTAATGAAAAAACGTTGAAAACTTCTGAAAAGAGTGATACAGTTTTTTAAATGGCAAACTTTAATTGCTATTCGTTATAAAATTGTATGTGGATTCCTTTATATTTTCAGGATTAACAAAACTTGTTTGTAGAGGAATCCAAACAACGGCTCCAAACCCATATCCTTAATCCAAACAACTACTAAAAGCCGGAATAATAAATCCAAACAACTACTAAAAACCGAAATAATAAATCCAAACACCTACTAAAAGCCGGAATAATAAATCCAAACAACTACTAAAAGCCGGAATAATAAATCCAAACAACTACTAAAAGCCGGAATAATAAATCCAAACAACTACTAAAAACCGGAATAATAAATCCAAACAAATACTAAAAGCCGGAATAATAAATCCAAACAACTACTTAAAACTACTAAAAACCGGAATAATAAATCCAAACAACTCCTCAAAACTGGAATAATAAATCCAAACAACTACTAAAAACCGGAATAATAAATCCAAACAACTATTAAAAGCCGGAATAATAAATCCAAACAACTCCTCAAAACTGGAATAATAAATCCAAACAACTTTTACAAAACAGTCATGCAATATCGATCACCTAAAAACAAACAACTGTTTTCTGAGAAAGTTTTAGTTGTTTGGTCTTCCAATATAAATTTTTTGGTCTCAAGATAGCATTAGCTGTTTGGTTTGCCTGCGATTACGATTGAACCAGCAAGTCCTCGATTCTCTTTAGAAAACCACTGCTGAGCTGTTCCTAAAATGAGAGGAAACATTTGTCACAATTTCAATTATTATTAAAACAAGTATTATGATTATTTTGATATTATCTTCGACTATATAAAGTAGTAATCTCTGCTTGTCAGGGTGTTTGCATGTTCTATCATTACTGAGAAATTTCTTGATCGACTTGCCTCAAATTTTGGTTAGGGAACTCTATGGAAAGTTCTTACCCTAGCTTACAAATTCAAGTTGATTGGGTTCAAGAATGTAATGCAAGGAAAGTTAATTGCAGTTGCGTATACTCTGCGTACATAATGAAACCAGTTTTCTCTGGGCTGAATTTATAAACAAGAATAGATGCATAATGTTAGTTTAGTATCCGAGGGGGTTAAAAGCATTGAATTTAATAATTTTGATAATTCACATAATAGTTTCTTATGACCAGAATATTTCATTGATTATTTATGTGAAAGATGGATCCCATGTCAAGCTTCGACATCCGTCTTGTGTTTACATTACCACCCAGTGACAGTACACTGTAGTACAAAAGATGCGTACACCTCTGAAATAACTTTCCTTGCATTAAATCCTTGATTGGGTTAAATTTTAGAAGGAAAACTCCTGGCAAAGTTGGGTTTCCAAGATAGTTAATCAATGTAAATCATAACATTTTTATTATATCGTTAGAACTGAAGAGGGTCAACCCAGACCAAAATATATTTTCAAAAAATGTGGAACTAACACCTATTTTATTTACTCAGGGAGGTTTAGAGCATCATCAACACCAAATTTTAAATCGTATTGATGAAGTAATTAATATTAATATTATAATACCTATTGCAGTTGCATACACAAATCCAAATCCAACACCGTGAAATGCCATCGTCAATACAACTGAATCAGTTCAGCAATATCATATCCTATGTACATTGTACAATTACATGTAAGCATTTTTGAATTTAACATTTGAGGTTAAAACTTTTGGTTTGTATAGCGCTAATTCTCGATATCAACCAACGTTCACTTTTAGACACAGAACACAGATTAGAATAGAAGGGAAGTGAGATTATCCCTCGGTTCAGACACAGAACACAGATTAGAATAGAAGGGAAGTAGGAATATCCCTCGGTTCAGACACAGAACACAGATTAGAATAGAAGGGATGTAGGAATATCCCTCGGTTCAGACACAGAACACAGATTAGAATAGAAGGGAAGTAGGAATATCCCTCGGTTCAGACACAGAACACAGATTAAAATAGAAGGGAAGTGAGACTATCCCTCGGTTTGAATTTGTTCAGTCTCTTTAAGCCTGAAAGGGAGTTCAAAGTGTACAATTCATGTAAATATTCATAATCATACGCAATACATCACAATAATACAGTATGATCCCTGGACATGTCCATTTCAATTTCTTCTTTTTATAAAGTTTATGCTGAAATGAAATTAGGAATGTAAAGAAAAGCTTATGCTGAAATGAACTCAGGAATGCATGATAGGTTGCCAGAGAATTGATTTTTGAGAAAATCAAATTATTTTCAAGAAAATGTTTAACTTTAAAAGGATGTTCCAGGGCACATACTGTTATATAAAGAGCGTCCCATATCATATCAGATTATCTCCAATCTTTAAAACCAAAATAAACCCTTAATACTCGAAAAACTTAGACCCGTTTTCGGTCTAATATGATGTGGGACACCCTGTGTGAAGTACCTCTGCAGTATGGAAACAATACATTAATGTCGGTTTTACACTTTTTTCGTTTTAATTCTACTCTATACTTATCTATTCTCTTTGCTTTTGGATTGGCGGGTTTAAGATTCATTCCTGTGATATATTTACATCTATGTATTTATATAAAGTAGTAACCTCTGTCTGGGTGTCTATTTGTTAGTTTGGATATCGCCTCTTGACCGATTTGATTCAAATTTGAAAAGGGAAACTTGGTAGAACCTCGGAAATGTTCTTAGTTTGGTTTAAAAATGTTTAGTTGAGTTAGTTTGGTTGGAAATTTGAACACGTACGCGTACACGTACACGTACACGTACACGTTTATTGAACACGTACGTTGTGAATTAGTTAAAATAAATGATTTCAGTGGAGCAATTAAGCAATTAAAAAAGAAAAAATATACATTTTAGTTGTACTAAAAATAACAAAGCTTAACAGAGCTTACAAGCTTTCTATAAAAGTTTATAGCTTACGCAATATTCTTTTTATACACACTTTGTTCATAAATTGTTATCAACGTACTCAAAGACGACTTTTAAGTTATTTGTCGCGTTATTAGGACACGCGTTTAAAGATAATTATAAGATATGTTTTTGTTCCTAGAGGGAAATAATATTGAATAGTCCAGTAGGTTAGGATTAAACCTGAATATTGTGGTTAATATTTCACATTAATTCAATTTACTTATTATCATCATCATCGAAAATGTTTAATTAATTAGCTACAAACTGCCAGGGGTCAATATAATTCCCTCTTCAATCCCATTTGGGATTGACAAATTTGAAAGAAATGGGG